GTGGATTCCTGGGGAAAGGGGTAGTCGGCGGTGGCGGCGGCACCAAGGCGCCCAAGCCCTCCTTCGTGTCGTACGTGCGTCCCGAGGTGAGGGAGGGGGAGCCGCGCGGGCGGGGCGTCGGGCTGGAGCCGCCGGGGCAAGGGGCGCCGGGAGCCCCTTCCCTTCCCCGCAGCCGGGAGGGCCGCGGGCGCTTCCTGTCCTTGTGCCGGAGGGGAGCAGGGCAGGGTGAGGCCCAGAGGGGCACGCTGGGCCCCACGCCAGCCCTGGTGGGGACCCCCGGCACGGGCAGGCAGGTGCCCAAGTGCAGGGCCCGGCTCGCTGGCGACCAGGTGAACGGGCCCGAGCAGGGAAGGTACTTCGGCCCGGCACGCTCCTGGCTACAGTGGAGGGGAGGCTGGGGTGTGGGGCACCGCGGGAGGGGAAGGGCTGGTGAGTCTGGACCCCCGTGGGGACCTCCCCAGAGCCTGCAGTCGGAGCGGGTCTGCCCTGCCCTTGGAATTTCTCAGTGAGTCTGTAGAGCTTGCTTATCTCAGCAGCTTGCTCCTGAGAGTGCTGTTCGATGTCGCTGGCGGGATACCGTGCAGTGCCTCCTGCCTCCCATCAGCACTGCGGGGAGCAACTGTGGGTCGGTCCTGGCCTTAGTCTCTGCCTCTCTCTTGTAAATTTCCCTCTGTAGCTTTTCCCTCCCCTTTCATTTCATCCCCTCTTGCATTCCTCCTGGAGTTTCACTGTCAAGCTCATTCATTCGTTCAGAAAATATTTTTTGCGCTCCTACTCTGTGCCAGGCACTATTCTGAACGTTTGGGGTGTACATCAGTGAACAAAAATAAAAGATCCCTGTTCTCCCGGAGCTGCTTTGAGGGAGAGAGAAGTGCACAGTAGATAAAATGGGGATATAAGTTAATTATTTGGTGTATTAGAAGTTTAAAAGTATCATGGGAAAAGAAAAGACCCCCTTTTCCTCCTTTGCTGAAAATTTCAGACTTGAAGGATGCTTGGGATCTGAGGGAGGAGTAGTGCAGGTAGAGGGAAGAATCTGGAGTGTTGGAGGGGCATGGAGGAAGCCTGTCTTGCAGAATCCTGTCGGTGAGGGGAAAAGTCATAGGAGAGGAGGTTAAAGAGGTTAGCTTGTAGGCCAAGCTGAGGGCTTCTTGAGTAATAGCTCCCAATCCAAATGCCTGCTTAGATGCGTTCTCATTTAGGATTTCTGAAGGGTTTTTTTTTCTGCTCCTCTCTCAGCATTTTAACCAGCAGCGGTGCAGAGGCACTAACAAACTCTTCAGCCATCTTCCCGCCTCTGTAAAGCCAAGGCAGGTGAACTGTGGTTGAGAGGTCTTGATCAAGGGCCGCTTCTGTAAGACCACCTGTAACCTGAAGTCTTTGCGTATGTGTTTTTAATTTCAAATGTGTGCATTTTTCTCCTGTGGAGAGTCCTCTTGAAATAGGTCTTGTTTTTAGTCCTGATTTTAAAATAAAAACCATTTCCTCTTGTAAATGCTTGATAAGGAGTCAGGGTCATCTTGAATTTTCAGCAGGTTCCCTTATAGTATTGAGAGTGAGTAGTGTGGTCAGTTTCTCTTTGTGTCTTTTTTATTGCACCCAGTTTGAAATACAGCTGATCTTTTAACCTCTCCTCTTCAGTGAAATTAAACTACAAGTGGAAGGTCTGAAATGTGGCCAGAGTTCAAGAATGTTCAAATTTTTTATCCACCAAATGCACATGTCGTAATTAGACATGTTTTTCCTTCTTTGCCCACAGCGCCTGCTTTATTTCCTTTGAGGGATAATTAGGGAAGGGGAGTGGTTCAGCCTCAAAATAAGCTTGAAGTGGTTACATTTTTCAGATCCTTACAGTTGGCAGTTTTGTTTTCTTGCAGTAAAATAATGCTTTGTAGACACTATGCTTCTTTGTTGAAATCTGTCTCTAAAAATATTTTGTAACAGAGAATAAAGCTCTGACCTAAATTGTGGGTAGTTTTTAGAAGATAAGCAAATGAGGAGGTGAGAAAGCAATTTGTCTTTAAGGACGATGTAGCTTTTGCTAGCTATTACAGAATCAGAAATGCAAATGAACGTGTTTGAGGCGGAGCTTTTGTGTTTCTGAGCCTTTGAGAGCACTCGGTCTGGTAAACTTCTCCTGACTCATGTAATAGGAGTCCTTCAGAACACCTTTCTGAAGACTGTCATTCTATTCCTTTCCTTCATATTGCCTTTATCTTTACTACCTTTTCTGTATGTTTTCCTGTCACTTACTTCTTTGTGTGCACTTTGCTTTGGGAGCTGGGAAATCCCAATTTCTTAGACACCTTTTTGCTGGTAGATCACTGAGCTGCCAGAACAACCTTCACACCTTTTCTGTGTGAAGTGCCTTATGATACCTGTGCTGGTCATGAACTTGTTCTTGTCTGATCAGATCTGGGAAGGTTCAACAGTAGCTGCGTTCTGTATGCCCGAGAGGTTATCAAGAATCAGGACTTTCTGTTAAAAACAGAAGGCTTAACTGGATAAAGTATTTGGAGATGATGCCTTTAAACATGAGAGCTTTTTTTTCCCCCTCGTGATCAGAAAGGATTGACATTGGATACCCTAAAATGAAGGGTAGGAGTTAACTTCATCTGTTAAAATTGGATCTGTGCCACAATAACTTGGGCTCTTCTGTCACTGATTCTTCTAAATCAGTGAATGTGAAAGTTAAAATCTTGAACTATAATTTGGGACCTTTGGTCATGTTTTGTAAACTCTGCCCAGAGGCTTGCAAATTAGGAAAGAGCATAAATGAGAAGCCAGTGGCTCTGGAAGCTGAGGTGAACAGGAGGGAGAGATCTGGGCCTGTCTTGGTAATACCTGATGGCTGGTACCTGAACACATCTCAGCCCCTCCATCCCAGCTTAGGTGCAAAGGATGTGGGCGTCTTAGTGCGGGGAACCCTGGATGCTGAGCTCTGCTTCAGGGAAGCATTTGGTTATAGTTTGGGTGCTAGATCCACTTTTCTTGTTGAATAAAATACCTGTTTGAATTATTTCAGAAGCCATAAGTGTTCATTGTAGAAAAATGAGATAATATAGTTAAGCAAGCAAATTTTTTAAGGAAAAATTATAAGCTTATGTTAATTTGGAGTATATCCTATCAGATATGTGTGTAGGTTTTTTTTTTACCAAAATAGGATTAATATTGCTCATTGTATTATTTTGTAATATGCTTTTTCACCAGAAATGTATTTTGTATAAGTCTTTCCATGTCAATTGTTAACCTGTAATGTAGTTTTAAATTAGACCCTTTTTCCTCAATAGAAACACACAGTGTGATGGGGAGATGTTAGGTAGCACAAAGAGCCCAAGAAAGTGTTGTGGTTTTTAAATGGTTTTCTAGTTAGTCACCTTCTCTGGTGCCGAATGACAGTTCTGATTCTTTAAGACTATCAGTTCTCTGCTCCGTTGAAATTGTGAGCACTGGTTTGGGAATTGATAGTGGTTAGAAATGCTTAGTGTCTGTACCTGGCAGCTTGTACACAGAGGACCATCAGGTGATCCTGAGAGGGAGTTCTGATTTAGTAAGAGCCAGTTCCGTTGTGATAAGGAAGCTGAATAAAAGCTTCAGGGTGCTGCTGTGTTGTTCTCTGAAACCGAGACTAGGAGAAATTCAGCTTTTAGAGTCAGCTGTACTTGTTCATATTTGTGTGTATTCCACATATGATTAAGATGTTCTTTCTAGTAGAGTTTAGATCAGTGTTTGACTTGAATGTACTAGTAATAGTTATTAATTACTTAGTTTTGGATTTTTTAGATTTGGGAGAGAATTTAAAGGTGATCCACTCCACCACTGTATTCTTCCTCTCTTACGTAGATGTGGCCCTGCAGGGTTCCGTGTCCTGCCCAGGGCTACACTGTTAATGCACAGCTGTCTCCTAAGGAGAGCACTGCCTGTGGCTAAGCCAGACCTGCAGGAGCTCAGGGAAGGTTTTGTGTAGATGTTGGGGGGAAAAGGTAAGAAGAGTCATGAAGGTTGAGAATGGCCCCAAAATCCAAACTTAAGAGCCATTCAGTTGCCTAGTCCTCATTCAAGGCTGTTTCTTTTGGTGGGGAGAAGATATGCCTGCAAGTATATATCAAATTTTAATTTAAAAAATGAGAATTTACTGATACTTATTAGCTCTTCCGTGTCCCAGAAACTGCTTATACAGTTAATTTGTTTGACAGATAGTTATTCAGCACCTGCTAGTACCAGGCACTGTTTTAGATGTTGGGGATCCAAAACCAGTGAAATGATGGAGCTTATTTTTTGATGGAGCACTGTGGTATTGGACTCTGACTTTCAGGGCTTTGATGGGTGGATGACAAGAAGAGATTGGCTTATCCCCAAACAGCCCTCCTTCCTTCTCCTTGCAATAAGAAATAACCTTTTAAAGCAAAATCTAGATCCATTACTTGAAGTCTCTATAACTTTTTCTCCATTCCAAAATAAATTTTAATGGCAGAATTTTCTCCTTGAGCTTCGAGGTCATTGACGGTGATTAAACAGGACATTATGGGACATTAAAAGTTCTTCCTAAAATGACCACTTTCTTAATTGTGGCTTTAGGCTGATGATCTGTCCAGAGCTTCCGCTTTTTTTCTCCTGCATGTGCTTCCTGCGGCATCTCCCTGGGTCCTGTCCAGCACTGTGCAGCTTCTTCAGATAGAGCATCAGAAGATATCATGAGGCTGCTGTCAAGCAACACTTCCTGCAGCCCATCAGACAGCTGCCACTGGACAGCCCCGTCTCCTCTGCACCCTACTTCCGTCTCTGAAGTTAAAACCAGGGCTGCTGTCAAAGTCTTAGGCTGTGGGGAACCCAAGCTTAGAAATTTAGAGCTCTGGATCCTTCTCTGAACATCCTCCATGGAATGTTTGCTGTTCTTTGACTACTTCCACATTAAACCATCCTGTGTCACAGCGTGCTTTAGAGAGAACTCTAAAAATTTTTTAATCCCTGTAAAAGATGTTTACCTTATTTTTGTGATAAAGGCAATGTAATAAAGTTGTAGACTTTGGGAGTGAGAAAAATAAAATTATCCTTAATTATACGACCCTAATAACCAAAACAATTATTCCCACTTTTTAGTATGTGTAGGCTTTGTGTGTGTATATCATATGGTGGCCATGGTAGTACGTGTGAAAATTTAGAGCCTGCCCCATGGCTTTCGTATTTGAAGATGACACCGCTGATTGCTGTCAGCAGGGCGGAAACTGAGTTATTTCTCCAGCAGGAAGCTTTCCTCAGTTTGTCATCAGGTTTCTCATCTCAGTTCAAATGTGCCCTTTTTGAGTGGGTTTGCAGTTTAGTAAATCATTTAAGATAAACCTCTTAAGACAGATTAGCAGGTAGGATTGAGCTGGAATAACTCTTCTCACCTCTTATCTAGTGTTGTTCTGAAAGGAGGAAGAGGGGCAGGAGAAATGGAGAGGGACTGCAGGAGGGAGCGCAGCTGTCCGAGCGCTTGAAGGGCTCCGGGCCTCCCCTCGCTGTGGTCCCGTCCGCACACCTGGAGCGTCCCACTCCGAGGCAAGCAGGCGCTTCATCGCTCTCCCTTGCTAGCTGTGCGCGAGGCCAGTGCACTGGGCCTCAGTCGTATTTCTGCCTGAAAGATGGGACTAATAATATCTGTCTAGCTGATAGGTGTACGTGAGCGTGTGTGAGCATCACCTGTGGCTGTGCGCGCACAGCCCTTCGCGGAGCACGTGGCGCGTGGGTAGCCTTCAGTGGTGTGAGCTGTCCTTGCTGCTGTGATTCAGAAGCCGCTCAGATGGTCTCAGAAGTGACTTACTCATTAATCCTAGAGTCCTGAAGTCTCTCCAGGCTGGGGTATTAATGAAAGTGGACTATTTAGTTGTTGTGGTTGTTGCCATGGTGTCACGCCAGGAAAGTTCACTGGGTGGTAACTCTTAGAGTATTTTTCACTATCTCTGAAAGTTTCCTTTCCTCTTTTCTTTGTTTCTTTATACATTTGAAAATGATTTTGTTCAATTTAAAATTCCAACCTAATGAGAACATTTTGTAGTGGACTTTATTCATTGTTAACATTTGGCCTTTGACGTTTTGCTGGATTCATTCTGTGGACTTATTTTTCCCCTTCCCTCGTTTCTGAATCTCCATCATAGGCCAGGTTTTGTCCACTTATCACATCTGATTGATGATTTACTTAAGATATTAGTAAGTGAAATCATATTACCTCTGGGAGTAGTAATTCTCTTTACCTATTTCAAAGGCAGCTGCCAGACTGGGCTGTTTTGATTTTATATGTAAATGCCTTTGCCTCCTGTGCCCCTTCGACATTC